TATATATAGGTATTTCATGAGAATAAACATTCAAGAAAGAAAAAAGTATGCAGTACATAATTTTTCCAAGATTATTTTATGTCATGTTATTATTAAACTACTATATGAGTGTATGCTGTGAATAATAAATACTGTAGAAAACAATGTATGTAGTTACTTGAGAACACTCTTGTCTAGACACATTTTGAGTCTGAATACTCACCAGTTGCTTTTACACCCTCTAATTTACAGTGTCAACATCTCTAATTGAGAAACGGCTGGTAAACAAACAATAGGTCATTTTATTCACCAGTCCATTCAATTATCCTCCAGGCTAGCACTTAACAGATAATATGATGAGTATCAATGTGGCAAAACAGTATATTGCATGACAGCGGTCCGCTTGACAAAGTTACAACCTAGTAAAAACAGTCACTTGGTGGTGTGTAGGCATCATTACAAGACGAGCTGAACACTTCAATTAAAAGTCGCCGTTCTCGATTCAACAAAGAAACACAAACGAAGCTTTTTTTTTTTTTTTAAATGCAACGCTGCATAATAAAACACGCACACAAATGGGATGCTACAGGTACATCACATTAACATTACACTGTAATGATAGTTGCTGCCCGACTTCAGCAGTAGCTTAGCTGCTACATTTAACTTTAAATTGTGTTTTTCCAAGTTGTTTGGTTCTGACAACTCAGGTTACATGTCGGACACATGAGGGCAGGTCGGATACGTGTCGTTTACATCAGCCTGGGTTCACGTTACAACTTTAGGTAAATACGGAGAACTGGACAGGTAACAAGCGGTAACTACCACTGGAGTCCGGGGGGCTACCGGTAGCTTAGCATGCCAACATTAGCTGGAGAGATGTGAAGCTTCATTTAGATATTAAACGTTTCTACGTGGCATATACACCCGTGTCTTAATTCATAAGACACAATAATATCAATGTTCAGGCAGAAATACACACTAACAGCGTCGGCCCGGCACGAAAAGTCAAATTTGCTAGTTAGCTCACAAGCTATCAAAGCTAAAAACACAAATTAGTAGGCGGTAGCTAACCAGGAAACGGAAACATCAGCAAATGGTAACACTATAAAGGTCTACTTTCAGTTTAGTTTTATTTAGAAGAATGCAAGCGTAATCATAACGTATACCTGTTTATTTATCGGCCCCAGTCGTGGGATTTTTGTGTGTATAAAAATCCTACATTTATGGCCAAATAGTTCCAAACAAAGGGTCTAACGTTACATACAAGGCTTAAGGCCTGTCACCGAAGGCCTCCCCAATAATCGATATGAATTATAGCCACTATCGATACATAGTGTGAAGTTAGCAGGCTACTAGACTCAAAACTGTCAACACCGCATGACTCCCCACAAGTATTTAAGACACGGAGTCACCTGGTCGGATCACAACTTATAAAATAAACGAGTCATTAATCAGAGGCCTCTTAGCTTCGATAGCACACCGGCCTCTAGTTGAACGCCTGGCCGACTGAAGCCTGCGCGAAACGGCACACTCAGAAATCGAGACCGAGGCTGCATACGCTTTCGCTTACCTTGAATTGGTATGGGCTGTGTAAGGTATTCGCTCCAGATAGACGGCCGAAATGTCTATTAGAATCCGCTAGGCTATTTGTGCATCGATATTAGAGATAGGATAGTAACAGCGATCTTCATCGAGCTCGGTATATCTTGAAATAAGGATGCATGTAAATATAGGCTATCCAGAGCAAATTACAAGCAGTAGGTAGGCTGCTGAGGATTTTTGTTGGATCCACAGCAGACTCCTCACAGCACCACTACAGGCACTGCGGGGACATGACAACAATCCGCTCAACAACAACAACCTCTCCTACCATATTGGAAATTCAACTTTGTTAAAAGCCCCTACAGTGTTCAAGTGTCATGTTGATCTTTTTATTGAACAAAATGCAGTTTGTGTGCCGGACTGCGCCGTTACATTTTTCACATTTAAAACAGCTGAGAGTTATATCATATTGACTGAGAGGTCCAGCAAAGTGTTACAGTGTGAAATCCACCTGGACCACGGCTGTCGTCTTCCATATGAATGAGTTACCACCAGCCCTGCTGCCACACTGTTGCCGGCTGTTCACCGATGATGGACCACGTGTCAAGCAGATACAGGAGCTGGAAAAGTTGACTGGATATGACACCAAAAACATGGCACCAGCACATATTATGAGCCTCTTTAACTGTTTTTTTTTTTTTTAAATAAGAGCATAAACTTAAATAGTCGGGTTTGCAAAAATTAATTAGGCTTGCTACAGAAAACTGTTTATTAAATATCACACAAATATCTACACTTGTAATACTATATACTGCATTTACCTTTAGGAAAATATAATCTTAACACTTTTAATGCTGGTAATTTTAACAGGAAGACAAGAAACTAGATTTACTTTGGAAGGAGCTTTGGTCCCACCTACTAAAAATGTGAATGTCCTAACAGGTGAAACCATGAACTGTCAGGGGTACATGTCTGGAGATTTGGTAAACCTAGCTCACATCTTCACAAGCAGCAAATACACGTTTCAGCAGGTTAGTAAAGTATGTTAGTTCTATAATGTGCGCACATGATGAAGCGTCGACTATAGTAAAATATCGACTATAGTAAAATACAAGTGCAAATAAGTTTCTAGGAATGTGCAAATAAGTTTCTAGGAATGTGCAAATAGCGGAGTTGTGCGTATAATTATTATTTTTTTCAAGGATTGGATGGCTATCCACTTTGCTTTAGCATATGGCTGGCTCGTCCACAGCTTGTGCTCCCTCTGTGACAGCTTTCACACACTTAGCCATCGTCTGGGAGGCTCTGCTTATCGGATCTGTGGGTAAAGATTGAGAGCAGATTTAAAGTCTGTGCCCCTAAACCACTGCAAAGACCAAAAATCAACATAATAATGGGTAAAACTAGAAAATAAATAAATGTTCATCATGCTAGGAATTTAAAATAAAGTAACTTACAAATTGAATGTTAAGGTTGGATGAAGATATGCATTTAAAGCCATGTGTTTTACATAAGTGCAATGTGCTCTTTTAGAGTATCACATTGCAACAGCATTATTACATTTCTAACAATAAATATGTCCGCATGTTTTATTTCTTGCAAGTGTGAAACAACGACATACA